GAAATAACTGAAAAAGTAGCTATTGCCAATCACTAAATAATGAAAACATAACAAAGATCATTGCAAGTTTTTTGATGATTTGATGAAATGATCGTTGATATTTATTTAATAATGTTGGACGATGATATGTTTGGTGGACCTAGCGAGGTGGTCCAAATTGACGAATCGAAGTTGTGTTTTTTTTATATGCAGTGATCGCTGGTGCCTTTTGTTTAGACACATACTGTTCAAAATTTCATCTTGTTTTCGGTAGATATTGGGTCAACTTCTCATAAAATAAGCCATTTACAATAAATTAAGACTTTTATTTTGCAAATAACCTCATTTTTTATCACGTACTTCTCCCAAAAAAGGTACAACTTGGCAACAATGGACATCATTTATCTTATCTGTCAAGAAATGAACGTTACAAAATGGTCACCCAGAATTGTTTGTACTTTTAAATGTTTTTTATAAACGCAAAAACTTTGATCTCATTAAAAATACGCGAAAAAAATGGTAAAGGAATTTCAGGAGTACTTTGAAAAATCACAACACGATACCTCTACACAGTTTACCAAGTAAATACCATCATTTACGTATGTGTTTTGAACTGTTATTTTTGCTAATATGCTGGTTTTGAACCCTTTTTTGCAAAAACAACGATTTTTTACAGTATCACATCTATTTTCCTTAGTAATATACAGTCTATGTTATATTCTTATAATTTAGAGTATCATTTTGTGCACAAATCAAAAATAATAAAATGCAACTTTGAGGTTCTATAAAATAGCAAGCAGAGGGTTCCTTACAGAAAAAATGACATATTCGTGTCGTGTCTTACCGACAGTTGAATAAAATATAATGTCAAAAAATTGTCAATCTATAAGTGAAGAAGGTCACCATTTGGACCGAAATGTTCACAGTAGAGAAGAATTTTAAGTGCATATGGTTTGACTAGCCATACAAGCATGGGGGACTGTCACATGAAAACCATGGTATAAGTTTCAGATGTTTCGGTAAACTATTTTTTGTATGAGTTTCGCAATACCACATAACAATGATCTCGCACCATCTATTTGCCAGTATATATCATAGTCAACCTGTAGAAATATGGCTTTATTAGTGTATATTACAGTACTTTGTTTGTTATCTTGCTGTATTCCACCAGTAATTGGTACATTTGTTGGTAAATAAATAAATAGATGATTGTTATTCAGATCGGATATCGTAGACAACAAATAACAACACCTGTAAAAATATGTAAATTCTGTGATGATTAGCTTGTGCCAGTCTTCAGTCTTCAACGTTCTTCGGCCTTCAAAAATATTGACATTTTTTTTTTCGAAATAGCAAAGGCATCTGACGCAGTGTTATTGGAACAACAGGACTTTCACGAATTTGGTTTCACAATTGTCACGAGGTGAACCATAGACAAGGAGTCCGTCAAATTCAAAGAAGTGACATCACACTTGTGACACTGAACATCTAAGATACGTGTTTATCAAGCACACTCTATTTAAATGTCGATTTATAAACTCGCCGTTGACCGCTTGTTATTGTAGTTGGTCGTTGCAGTTTAGTTGCTCCCAACTGCGGGTGTCATTTATCAAGAATGTACATAACCTCAATATCAAGGTGAACATTATTATTGTGTTTTTCTCAACTAAAGTATATTCAGATAAGAGATAGACCGGACATAAACAAGACCACGTGATCATCGAACGCTGTAACATTCGGCAGGGACGTATTAAGAGTCACGCAGTACATATTTTAGATAGTAGATGCTGCTTTGCGTAACTTTGTAGTAAATTAGCACAATTCGATGTGTATACGATTGGTGATGGATATAGGATCATGTGGGGGTGGGGTAAGAAATATATAATGATGTAAATATACATAAGGGTTTCAAAATTTTCGCTTCGATTTCCAGCTTCGGATGCCGCCTGATGTTTGGTGAAATACAGTCGAATATAATCTCAAAATGGCGTTTAAATTAGCCTAAATTAAAAATAGTCGTATATCTCTTAAAATTGCTTTTAGAATATTGATTAGTATATTTTTTGATTTCTAGGTAAATATGTAACCAAAATAAAACGTCCAAAACGTAAAAAAATGTGCATGGTTGAACATTGTCAGAAAGTAGATTCTTGAATAGGTTTTGCCAAAATGGGTTCAAAAATGTCAATAATTAATTAAAAAATACAGTAGCTTTATAATTACTTATAACTTACCGAATTTGATGAACGACATCTTTTATTGGAAAGATGAGCTTGATGAGCTTTCATCATCGCTACTGCCTGAAGCACCAACGTCAATAATGAATAGCTCGACTTGTTCCTCTAAAATATTGTCCAGTTCCCACATTCTCTTTTCAACTTTGTCTTTCACGAGCTTAATACAGTTTTCCCATTTTTGCGCTGTTATTAATTCTAGTGCTCCTTTGAAAAGTCCTTTGAGGTCATAAAATTTAAAAGTTGTATTGTGCTTAGCTATATAATTTTTAACCTCTGCCCATATGAGCTCAATGGGATTGAGCTCGCAATGGTATGGAGGTAAACGGAGCACAGTTTTATTTTGACTTGCTGCCATTTCGTCAATGGCGTATTTTTGATATTCCGCCTTGTGATCCTTGACAATTCTTAATAATTGTACTTTCAGCATTGCTTCTTCAAAGTTGATATTTTTCGAGCGGAGCCAATTTTGAACATCAACTTTCCTTGAAGCCGTTGTTGGGACCTTCTCCATTCTTCGAGAATGATAAGGCGTATCCAACACAATTACTGCGTTTTCCTCTAAGTTCGGTAAAATTTTTGAAAACCACTGTTCAAACGATTCGCCATTCATTTCCTCGTGGTAATCTCCAGTTTTCTTAGACTCAAAGCACCACAGACCGTCAACAACAAATCCATCCTCACTGCCAATATGGCAGATAATGATCCTTTTCCCTTTACCTGGAAATCGAAGTACTAACTGGTGTAGATTTATTTCAATAAGCGAACCTTTTTCAAATGTTTTCATCACATTCAGCGAAAAAACATTGAGACATGAGTATCAGATTGCTATAATTGGGATTATTTAGTCATATTGAAAGAAAGAATATTGAACGTCGTATGATTACTCAGCGCTTCACAATTTAATTTAAAGTTATAAACCTTTAAAAAATGAATGATCAGGAACCTGAAATACGCGCAAATATTAATATTAACAAATTATAACTTTATAAAGCTTAAAGTATGAATTAAAATGATTAGAAATATTAGGAACGGTACACAATATAAAACTTAGTAACTTTTTTTAAGTTTATAATATTCGACATATTTTAAGATTATATTAAAAAATTATTGAAATATCGAAAACACATAAAAACATGGCTTAAAAAAGTTCTAACAAATGAAAATGACAATAAAACATCCACGCATTTTATCGAAAGTTATAAAAGTTTTGTTACTTGTAATGTTTTATCTGCCCCCTGGAATTAATGTTTAGAACCTTGTTCCCAAGGTTTGAAAAACATCCGATTGTTGCCTATTACTCGTATTTACTTGCTGGATTTTTTAATCCGGTGGACAGTCCATCTAGAAAGGCCCTCCTGTATGAAGTTACAGAATCATCAATCCATACTTTACTTGTAGTGTGTCCTGCGTTTACCCACGTTTCATCAAGGTAATAAATCTTCCTGTTTTGATTTCTATATTTTCCAATTTTTGTTAAATAATCCCTCCCCCATAGCACAATTTCTTCTCTATCCAGTAGTAAACTATTACGACCCCGTTTTTTCCATTTGAAATTTAAATGCTTCAGTAACGCATGGAAAGTTGATCGTTTGAAATTTGGCAACGTTGTATCTACATTTACCTCCTGCAGTAGTTTATCTATAGTAGGTATTTCATTCCTAAAGAAGAATTCATGCACTTTCCTCCTAATCGCATGCTTATCAGCTTCATCCAATGATTTAACAATACTTTTGCGATGTTTACTGGTCATTGGCTCAGAAAAGGTGTGATTTTTTTTGTATTCTCTTAACACATTAAACACTGATGCGCGACACACCCCAACTTTGTGAGAAACCTTCACAACAATTTCTTTGATGGTCGATGCCTCGTTCTCCTCGCGCTCGATCTTATATATATTCAAAATGACCTCTTTCGTTTCTGCACTCAGGTGTCTTTTTTTATAGCGTTTCCTAGGTGGACTACAGGAGTTTACAACTTCATCGGCAGTATCTGTACTACTGGGCATTTTGCGCAAGCAGTTGATAACAATAACAATCAATAACAAGGTATAACAATAACAACGACAAACTCAACAACTTAATAAGATAACAAACGAAAACGTCCAAAGAAATATCAAATTGCAATGATGCACACGACACGTCTGAACCTGAATGTGACTCTGCCTTGATACGACTGCTCTGCCGCTCGGCATAGGCATTTAATTGCGAATTGACCAATGAGGGCTCCTGTTTTACGTCGAGACGGCGGCGTTAGCGTGAAAATCACCCGAACCTTTTGTTTACATCCGGTCTATCTCTTATCTGAATATACTGTAGAATTTGTGCGAAAATGTTCGTAAAAGTCGGGACTCAGGAAGTGGAGCTTTCCTACAACGCTTTTCTAATGGTCACTTTTAGATCTTGAGGTTAACTGCAACTGCAAAAGCTAAAACTTGGCCAACTTTATAGATGGTTATATACAGATTGTCTATCTTTCAACTTAAACACCAACTGCAACGCGAACGACCAACGACGAACGTGGAGTTTATAAATTAGACTACAACTTTTTCTTGAAATAAGCGACCAAAAATTCATTTTTGGTCCTGTTTTTTTCAAGTTTGTCGCCACCCAATCACGGTTCCCTCAAATGTAAGTTTATTGTAGCAGTTCAATTGAAATTAAACAGAAAAGAAAGAAAGGTGATTCAGAATTTACAAAAAACTCATTTATTTCGAATCAATGTGGCTTGCGCTCTTGTTACCTCAGGCTCGTCAATTATCGTAATCGTTATATTTTATTGTGACAGGTACAGGATTTGTCCACTGATGGAAAAGGTGGCACCGTTTCAACTGTCGAGGGAGGACTAAATGCAATGCGACTAGTAATCAAGCTCAGGTCAACCTCTGGACATGGACTACACTACAGAATTCAAATATATTCATAATAATGAGAAACTTATTTCAAGTCATTAAACCACATTTGTGAAATATTAGTTTTTATTTCTATTATTACCATTTTGCACAAACTGCTTAAGTTACATCGAAGTAAGACAGCTCAAGATGCCATCTATTACCAGAATGGACCAGCAGGCTGTCTCTTGGTATATTACTATACTATAACTATCTAAAACTGTAATGACTCATCGATGTTCACGTGAACATCACTTAACTACCAGTAGTCGGCTGTTCATAGGCGGGGTATGAATGTTTAACATGGGTGAACTAGATTTGTCACATGCTTAATAAAGAGTGGTTTGAAACATATTGTAAGTCAAAAATTTGGCAATTACCTTTATTCATCGTCGCTTCCACTTACATCTGACAGTAAAGAACTGTCGCTATCGCTTTCCTCGTTGAAATTGACTATAACTGGCTCTATGATGGTGTCGATGTGGTGGGCAAGCTGCCACATTTTTGTTTCTTCCTTCACAACATGACGGATAGCATTCTGCCAAGCTTCGGGCGTTACTAGCTGTATGGAAGTCTCAAGTAAAACTTTAACGTCTGGTAATTTGGAGGTTGTGTTATGGCGCGCAATATAACCCTTCACTTGAGCCCAGACGAGCTCTATTAGTTTCAGTTCACAGTGGTAGGGCGGTAACCGCAGCACAGTGACACCACATTGACGGGCCATCTCATCAGTCACGTAACTAATGTTCGCAGGTTTGTGCTGTTTAATTTTTTCATACAATTCCGCTTTCACACATGAATCGTCAAACGGGATTCCTTTTTCGCGCAACCATTGCTGCATGTCACTTTTTCGAGATCCCATAGTCGGTACACGTTCGGCTCGACGACTATGGTAGGAAGCATTATCCATGGCGATCACAGAGTTGGGCTCAACTCGCTGAAGCACCCCTTGAAACCAGCTCTCGAAGCAGCTGGCATTCATTTCGTCATGGTAATCACCTCCTTTCTTAGAGACGAAAATCAAGTCACACTCTTCTAAAAAGCCACTATCGCTACCAATATGAGTTATGATCAATCTTTGACCTTTACCTGACGGTCCACGAAGACCTGTTGACAAACCTTCAATGCTTGCTTGTCGGTTACTCACTACGTTTTTGTCTATCCAGGTTTTTTTAACTGTGTGACCTGCATTTACCCATGTCTCGTCCAAATAATAGATTTTTCTGCTTTGTCGCCTATATTCAATCATTTCGCGTAGGTATTTTCGACGCCAGGCGACTATTTCAGGTCTCCCTATCAATACTGACTTCCGATTACGCGTTTCGTAACGAAAATTAATTTCGTGCAGGGATTTCCTCATTACCTCGACGCTCATTTGGGGTATAATTTCATTTTCCTTGATAGCTGCATGTACAGCCTTGAGGGTTGGTATCTCATTCCTAAAGAAGAATGAATGTACGGTTCGCCTTAACGCCATTTTGCTATCGTCATCCAATTTAACAGCCTTTCGTCCCTTCAAATTAAACTTTGGATCAGTAGTAGCTCCAGTCCAATGCGTTGCCGACGCCTATGAGTCTGCCGGTCGAGGCGCGCCTTTGATTTCATTGGTTCTACCGGGGGAGAACAATCAGCCATTATTTCCATCTCTGTCTGTGCTGTTGACCACCGCAAAGCCACAGAAACGACATATGTCGTACGCTATACGGCTGTACTGGAAGGAAGCCGGGATCGAGCTCTGATCACGTGTTGATCACGCGTATGAGCCATTACAGTTTTAAATAGTTGTAGTATGGTCTGTTGAATGGCGAGTAGTACCACAGTCAGCGGCATCTAGGGGCGACAGTGGTAACCCGGCCGCCAATCCGAACTGGGATACAGTTCCAACAGTCAGGTTGCTATTCTCACTCTCGCAGTGGTCGTTTCTTGTAATAGATGACACTTTATGTTGTCTCACTGCGAAATACCTTATACACTGGATAGATGATAATTACTCAGCTTCCTTCATTTTCCTACCTGAGAAGAAGCCTAGATCATGCTGAGGAGTTACACGAACCAGCTGTCGTCTGTGTTTGGATGAACGAGAGCTAGCTCACTTGAGGTGTGTCTCCATTATTATGAATCTGCTCTGAGTGTGTCAGGAACGAAAATGGTCTACAAAATGTTGCGCCACAAGGACCGGGGCAAAACTTCCAAAAGACAGCATGTGCCGCAGGATGTTGTAAATCGTTTTCATGTATGACACGTGCCCAGATCCTTTGGTCGGACAAAAGCTTGCAACTATCAAAGTATCTGTATTGAGCGTATGTGCTAGACATTCTGGAAGTCTATCAGGCCAGGTGCGCTTACATTTGAAGAACCTTCTAACACATGTTGCACAACATATGGCACATGTACCTGGACATACTAAGAACGTACCTTTACAGTTTCTCAGGTCTAATGGTTCATTTGAGTAAGACAGAAATTGAGTGGCTTGGTACGCGTGCAAACGATATACAGGGTGTTTCAGTTTATTGTTGCATAACTTTAAGATTCGATAGAACTTTTAAAATTAATGCATAAAGTCTATACAAACATGGGTCGAAAAATGCGTGGCTTCCGAAATACAAGGTGTTTAAGTTTACTTTCTAAAATAGTTTTTTTTTTAAATATTTCGAACAATATTCGATGTATAACAGTGAAAATTGATATACAAGGATTTTTTGGTACGACAAAACGAACCATGGGCATAGTTTTACTGTAGCCGCTAGAGGGCGCTCTCTACTGTACCTGTAGTGTATTAAAATGACCGAAAAATTAGTGCAATTTTTTGCTTTTTGAATAAAAATACTGATTCTTCGCACTTTTCAACATAAAAAAGCTCTCCTGTGAGTTTTCCCTGTAGTTAGCCGTTTTTGAGATATTTCGATTTTTAAGGTTCGATGCATTTTTAATTATTTATGGGAAAATAATATTTTTTTTACATTTTCGATTTGGGCATTACAAGTAATTAAGAGGATCGTTTAGATTGTGTTTCTAAACACAGCAATAATTCCTAACTCCAAATAAACACAAAAAACAGAATATTAATTTGTTTAATTTTCCAATATTATTTTTAACGACTTAAATTAATTATTTACAACTAAAATGCTATTGGATAGTTAGGACAAACATACAAAATCTAAAGTAGTTGCTCGAAATGTAAACCCAATTGGTCAATACACAATTCACATCTACGAATGATCGAACGTGGTATAGCATTATTCAAATAAGGCCTTATTTCATCAAATGCATTCCTGATTCTGTCTATTAGCATATCTCTTGTGGCTACGGGAGTCTGGTACAATTTTTCTTTTACAAAACCCCACACAAAGAAATCTAATGGATTTAGGTCAGGGGATCGTGGAGGCCAGGCGACTGGTCCTCCACGGCCGATCCATCTTTCTGGATAATTTTCATCCAGCCAGTTTCTAACTATTCTCGAATAATGAGCTGGACAACCATCAAGCTGGAACCAGGCCAATCTTCTTAAATCTAACATAACATCATCCTATATATTTGCATGTTCAGCCTTTAAAAATTCCAAGAAGGTCGCAGCATATAACCTTGCATTCAAAAGGTAGGGCCAAATAGTCGATTACGGTAGATACCAATCCACACGTTCAAACTAAATTCATGCTGAAAATTTCTTTCCCGAACTGCATGCGGATTTTCATGCGACCAAATATGTTGACTATGAAAATTTACGACTCCACGTCTAGTGAAGTATGTCTCATCGGTCCATAAAACGTTACTTAAAAACTAAAGAATCCACTGACAAAATGTGATTCTTCGTTCTCCGTCCCCTGGCTGAAGTCCTTGCACAGGTTTTCAAATGGTAAGGACGTCTATGGTCATTTCTAAGAACATGGTAAACATGGCTTGCTGAAATTCCTAAGGCACCAGAAACTCTCCTAACACTCACGCAGAATCATACGGGTGATCTGCGCTGACGAACATTTATGTATTGATCCATTTGGAGATTTCCAAAACCATTTTCAATTATTTGGCGATGCACTCTTACAAATACTGAGCGAGTTGGATGTCGTCTGTTTGGAAATATTCGTGCGTTTTCTCTGGCTGCTTCTGCTGCGTTTCCATTTACAAAGCCATACACAAAATGAATATCCGCTAACTCTTGATTGGAGAATAAATATGGCATTTTTATAAAACTTACAAAAAAAAAAACAGGTAAAAGAAACTAAATTTCGTGCATTCACAATTGCTAAAAAACGTTTCAGGTTTCAACACACAACAAAACTAACTGTCAACTAATTGGCGTTTAACCTTATTCTACTTTCAATTTCAAAAATATTTGCAGGCACACCCTACTTCTAAAAATTATCGAGATACTGATTTTTTAACGTAATTTTATCATAAATAATTAAAAATGCATCGAACCTTAAAAATCGAAATATCTCAAAAATGGCTAACTATAACGAAAACTCACAGGAGAGCTTTTTTATGTTGAAAAGTGCGAAGAATCAGTATTTTTACTCAAAAAGCAAAAAATTGCACTAATTTTTCGGTCATTTTAATACACTACAGGTACAGTTGAGAGCGCCCTCTAGCGGCTACAGTAAAACTATGCACATGGTTCGTTTTGTCGTACCAAAAAACCCTTGTATACCAATTTTCACTGTTATACATCAAATATTGTTCGAAATATTTAAAAAAAACTATTTTAGAAAGTAAATTTAAACACCCTGTATTTCGGAAGCCACGCATTTTTCGTCCCTTGTTTATATAGACTTTATGCATTAATTTCAAAAGTTCTATCGAATCTTAAAGTTATACAAAAATAAACTGAAACACCCTCTATATCAAGAGTAGATGTTTCCTCTAAGTCAGAATTAAGACAGTTCATCTACAAATAAAAGGAATTTACCATCCTCATACCTCAATCACTGTGTCTCTTCTGAAGATCTATTCGTCAGACAAAGTCAGGCAGAAAGAAGGGAAGAAGAAAGAAACGAAGAAAGGGAGAAGAACGAGGTGCGTCTGTTGGAGGGGTGCATTGATAATTTTAACTAGTATTCAGACATTTTGGATTGATCTATAGGAAATTTAGACATTTATATGTGCTGGAAAATTTGTAATTTTGATTGAGCCTAGAATTGCACGATTTACTTTTATTCAGTGCGAGTCGCGGTCTTGTGCGCTTGCGAGCTTTTCGACTATGTAGTCTACTGCGCCTCTTGTTTGA